ATGAAGTCTGTGTCTGGTCCTACTTCATGAAGTGTTTCTCCTAAGTTTTCTTTAAGATGTTTTATAGTTTCAGGGTATATATTTAATTCTTTAATCCACTGTGAGTTGATTTTGGCAGTACCATGCTGTATTGGTTATTATAGCTTTATAGTATAGTTTAAACTCAGGTAGTGTTATGTCTCCAACTTTATTGTTTTTGCTCAGCATTGCTTTGGCTATGTGTGGTCTTTTGTTATTCCATATAAATGTCTGGATAGTTTTTTCCATTTCTGAGAAAAATGTCATTGGAATTTTGATGGGGATTGCATTAAATTTGTATATCACTTTGGGTAGTATGGACATTTTCACTATGTTGATTCTTCCAATCTAAGAGCATGGGATATCTTTCCATCTTCTTGTATCCTCTCTAATTTCTCTCAGCAGTGTTTTGTAGTTCTCATTATAGAGATTTTTCACATCTTTGGTTAACTCAATTCCTAAGTATTTTATTTTTTTGGTGGCTACTGTAAATGGGCAAGTTTTCTTGATTTCCCTTTCTACATGTTCACTATTAGAGAATAGAAATGCTACTGATTTTTGTGTGTTGATTTTGTATCCTGCTACTTTGTTGAAATCCTTTATCAACTCCAAGAGTTTTTTTGTAGAGGCTTTAGGCTGTTCGATATATAGGAGCACGTCATCTGCAAACAGGGACAGTTTGACTTCTTCTTTTCCAATCTGGATGCCCTTTATTTCCTTCTCTTCTCTTCTCTCTACTAATCATGGAAATTATAATGCTTAAAGTATACCTCTAATCGTTTCATCTTCCAGAAAATTCTTCTGAAGTCTGCCCCTCCTATTTCTGAAAAAGTGCTAACAAACATGCATTGTATGGGAATTTTCTCACTGCCTATAGGTGACATGCTTCGTTATATTCAGGAGAGTAAGGAAAGAGCTGCAGAAATGGTAAAAGCAGAGGTACTGCGAGAACGTCAAGAAACAGCCCGAAAGATGCGCAAATATTATTTGATTTGCCTCCAACAGATTTTGCAGGATAATGGAAAAGAAGAAGGGTAAGTTCAGTCTGAACAAACAATGTGTCCTGAGAGCACCAGGGCAGTGTGTTGTCATTTTCTAAGCATTTCCCTTAACCACAGAATTAACTATTTCTTCATGATCAGCCATTGGGAGTTAAAAGAGGCTCATGACTATGCTACCCTAAATGTTGGCAGAGCTAATAGGAAAACAGAAATCCTGGGGCTAAGGAAACTCATTTTTTCCTTTAGACTATATTAATTTAATATTCTGGAATTCCCCACAGGGCTGAGAAAAAGATTATGAATGCTGCTAGCAAACTTGCTACAATGGCAAAATTGCTGGAATCGCCTATTTCCAATAGACCCCAGAGCAAAACTACACAGTCAGGTATGTCAAAATGAGTCACTTGAATGGTTTTTCTCTCTTTTCTTTTCTGAATATTTAATACTTTCACTATGAAAAAGATCAGGGAATATAAGTGAGAGTTAATTTATGAAGTTGTGTGCATTACTTAAATTGGAAATTTATAAAAAAGAGTGTAGAACTTCCAGTTCAAGTAGGCAGACTGAGCAGCATATCACCTTCCCATTCCTGCTTCCATCCCTAGAAATGATAGAAAAGATTTTAAACAACAATTAAAGAATGAGAAAAAGAAGACATTATAACTGGGTTTTAAGGTTGTGATAAATAGACCTGAAGCTATAAGAAATTCCTGAAAGAAAGAAGACAGTATAGGACTCAAGATGGAAACCTCAGTTCAAAACTGCCAGAAGATGACAGCCGCAGGTCAGAGCAATATCAAAACTGTTCCACATATGAAGGTGGTATGTTCCAGGAAAATAGTGAGCCTAGGTGATACCAGTGGGGTAATCAGTTGGTGTCCTAGAGAAAGAACAAGTGGGACTACCCTCTATTTCTTCTTTTCCCCTCCCTTCCCCAATCCCAATACTGGGCTAGTCAACAGCAACAGGAACAGAGTCTGGGAGCAGGGCAGTACTCTAGGTAGCTAGCCACCAAGGAGAAACTGGGAGCCCACATCCCAGAGTACCAGCTACTATGTCTTTCTACCTGGAGCTTCCTCGCCCCCCTTCTCCCCCGTCCCCCTTCCCAATCCCTTTATGCAAGAGCACAAACAAATATGGTGTTTAGGACTAAAAGGTAAGCATATAACCAGGAATCACCATATCTTTATAGAAAGCCGTCACCATCACACACACAAACACAAAAAGAATAAGAAAATAACCAAACAGAACTTATACCCTAAAGAAACAGAATTTTTTTTTTAAAAAACTGAATGTTTAATACATTTGTAGGGATAGAAGGAATGCAACAAGGATGACAATTTTATAATATACCTTAGACATATATGTAAAAGATGTTTCATTTTTCAAAGAAGTTTCCCCTATTTCCTTGTCTTTTCTGTCTTTCTCAGAGAAATTAAATATTAATTACTACTCTCATGGGTAACCTGTTCCGTTGTGTTGGACAGTAATTACATCATTATCATCTCCCAAACTCTGCCCTTCAGAGTACCTTTACAGTATAGTCTCACAGTAAAATTGTATTCCGCTCAAATTAGGAGTGCCTAAAGAAATTAGACCAAACAGCACTCAAATTCCTGTGAATGAATGCTAGAGGCACAAGGATTTTAAGTACAGATTTAGTAACAGAATGTCTACTGGCGCAAACCTTCTATTTATTCATATTATTAAAACTGCGATAATAGAAATGAAAGTTATGTTAGTGAAAAAAGTAACTCAAGAATGAAGTCATTGAATATAACTAAATACATTTGAAATATAAATACCATATATTTCTTAATTTGTATCAGGTAAATATCTGAACTATCTATCCTGAATTCTGGTCTCAGAGAAAAAAGTCAGAGACAACTATAATGGTGCTTCACATTTTCAGGTCCATTTTTAAAACAATGAGGTCCTTTGGAAAAATCACTTCAGTCTTTATTTTTATCAGAGATTTCTGATGGTCCTTTTGTTGGTAATCCATTTATGTCCACACCCTTGTAGTCTACTTTCCCTTTATTTTTATCATTGGATTCCTGTACAGCTTTTCTAGGCCATATGCAACTAACAAAAGGGGAAATCAGAGGGAAATCCAGGAATTTTTTGTAGATCCAGAGCAGAACTGAAACGACGATACAAGGAATGCACACCGTTGTCCCAGGCTTGAGTTCCTAAACTGTTGCAGGATATCACTTTGGAAGCCTTTTAGGCTGCACATCAGCTGGCCTTTCCCAGGCAACAACTTTTTGTGAGAGCGCAGGCAGGCCACAAGGCATGGAGGAAGGCAGGAAGGAGAACCATGTGCCATGCTAGGGATCCATGAGTGTAGCCCGGGCTGGAACCTGCCCCACAGCTTGAAGGCACGGGGGGAGTGCCAAGGCCAGAGCCCACCCCTGGGCTCACCCCTAGGAAATAGAATTAGTAGAACAGACAGCAGGACCTGAGAATAGTACGAAGTATAGTATTCTTCGAGAGATACAAGAGGATATGGTACAGGAAACTAAAAATATGTTAAGATTTTTACTGTTTTCAAGGAGAGAGGATATAGATACTAACTCTAGCCATTGCTAGAAAAACACAGATTTAAGTATGTGTGTTAAAATTTAAGGGTAACCAACAAAGAATATATAGCTTTCAAATTGATAGGGGAAATACTTGGAAGAGAACACTTTCAATCTAACAAAATAAGGAAAGAGAAAAAAAAAACAAACTAGAATTGGTCAATAGAACATAATAGTAGGTTGAAACACCAGCAATTTCTCTAAATATGAATAAGTTAAACTCACTTATTAAAAGACCACAACTTCCAAATAGAATTTTTAAGAATAAGGACATTTGCTATTTTTACAAGAAAAACATCTAAATTTCAAAATAAAGGAACGGAGAATGATATACTAAGCAAATGAGGTGTTGATGTTAGATTAATTATAGAGATAAATACAATTATTAGGTAAATTAGAGTTGGCATTAAGAGGGACTGTAACGATAATGGAATAGTCTCCCAAGAAACTATAATAATAATGGAACAGTTTATAATGATAATGGGACAGTCTCCCAAAAAACTATAAATTGTTTCTTTCTGTGTATAATAACATAGTTTTAGAGTATATAAAGCAAGAGCTGAAAGAAATACATCATAAAAAAATTTGGTAAATTCCCAATCACACTGGGAGATTTTTAAACATATCTGTGGGGAAATGGGGTTTTTGAACTTCTGGAAAATTGAAGCAGAGATTATTCAGGAATACATGAGTCTGCTGTTGGTAAACATTTCTCATGTAGAAACACAACGATTATTTGTGTAAATTTTTGAATAGTGACGTGAACCTTAGGTATAAAGGGACAGTGGCATATAACAAGAAAATAATTTTCTATATCTGGGGAAACAGTGTGCAAATAATGTCCCCAGTAGAAGCAAACCCTTTTCTTGGACTCTAGGGACCAAGGTACACTACTCTGAGATCTGAGATATATCTCTAATTCTGTGCTATATGGCTCCTTTGCCTCTGATTGGATTTAGTGGCCTAGCCAATTAAATCAGAAACTCAATTTAGCTTTTACAAAGTATGTGTGTATGTGAGGGTGTGTAGGTGCGGGTGTTGGGTCGGTGGGGTTCTTCCAGCAAACTGTCTTCATCAGAAACTCCATACTTGACATCAGAATCAGAGCAAGATTGAAAACATTGCAGTTGGCTTTTGAAATGCTAGAACATCTATTGCAGAAAATGATAGATTAGGTGGATAACAATAATAATATATCAGATTTTAGTAAAAAAAATTACTAAGCTCTATCTAATGAATATGTGTAAAAAAATATTTTTAAATGTCCAGCATTGATGTATTTTAAGAATGATTAAAATATGTATGCATTCTTTGAGAATACATAAAAACATACATTTCTTTCTGTTCAAATGTTAATTTTCTCCAAATTTTGTGTTTCCCTAATTTTGTGTTCCTTTGCACATAGTAGCACTGCCCCTGACTTCAGTGATGCTGATTGGAGTTGAAAAATCAAAAAGAAGTGATGTGAATCAGAATATACCACATTATATTGAAAGCAAATCAAGCAGTGTAAAAACTGTCCCCAGAAGTATGTGTGAACAAGTTCCTAAGAGGAGGGCTGCTTGTAACTTACGGAGGCGGTTAGAGGACTCAGAGCATGGGGACATAAAGCATGTGGATTCCAAAGAGTCACATTTGGACTTTCAGTTTGGGGATAGGAGTTGCAAGCACCAAGATATTTTGCCAAGAAATGTTTCTCCTGAGTTTGTTCCTTGTGAAGGTGAAGGAGGCTTTGGTTTATACAAGAAGAATGACCTACTTAGTGATACTGGTTCTGAATCACTTCTACATTCAGCCGCATACCCCTTTCGTGGAACCTTCAGAAAAAAACCCTCACCTAGATGTACCTCTGGTCTTTCTGAATCAGGATCCACAAATATGACCTTTCAAGGTCCTGATGAAAGACCTGGTTTAAAAGTATATACGTGTAATCCAGTAATGGAAAGTGAAAATGCTGCATCTGAGAAAAGTCAAGGTTTAGGAGTTCAGGAAGCTCCAGTAAAGGATGGAGGGGATCTTAGTGACTCCTTAGGTTGGCATTCCAAAAGTGCAACTTTACCCTGTAACAGCCATGAAGTGTCATTTTTACACAGTAGGCCACAAGGAACTCAGGATATACTAGGTGAGTTTGTTAATTTCAAACAGTTTTCAGCAACCAATTGTCTTTCAGATACAGAGAAAAATAATATGATTTGTCAACAGATGAAATGTCACAGTGATCACGCTCCAGACCTGTCCGAAGAAGCCATGTACTCTCAGCCAGGGAAGATCAGTGTGACCCTTGGACATCCGTCTTGTCATAAGGCTGATACATTAAAGTCAGATTTCAAAAAACTGAGCAGTACAGTACCATCTTCAGTGTGTCGGCAGCCTTCACGGAAAGTAATTGCTCCCTTGTCTAGCCAACAAGATAGTGGCTTTGATAGCCCATTTTTCAATGTAGACTAATTGTTGTACAGTATTGAAGAAGAATCATTAAAATATTGACAAGAAAACTGGAAGGGAAGACTTCATACTGAAAAAATTGTGAGCTCTGCCTATTTTGAGATATTTTAATAACATATATGAGTAAAGTAATCTCATAAAACTACTTGAGATACTTATTTTCCCTCATGTGGTGCTTATATTGGTTGCTAATTCATCTGTTTTTATACTTCTAAATTGGAATTGTTAATTTAAATAAACTTGCCTATTGTCTGTAGAATTGTTATGAATTATTTTGTAGTTTATTATATAAGAAATATTGACATCATGTTTGAAATTCACCCAGAAAAAAATGTAACTTTGATTATCGGCATCCGTGATCAGCCAAATTTACTTTTTGAAATTAGCCATGTTTAATGAGGCTATATGCTTATTCTAGACAAACTTTTCTTTTCTACTTAATATTTTGATCCTTGCTTTTAACTAGAGAAAAGAGGTTTTCCAAGGTTTGCTACAAAATACATAGCTGTGAAATATTTTCTGAACTTTTTCAGTTGATATTTGCATTATTTCAAATCACCTGTGGCATGCAGAGACTTAATCTCTTTATGGTTTCACAGTTTTTCTTTCATCTGAAATATTGCTTTTTGAAAATTGAAATAATAAACTTTGTTATGTAGCACATTCATTTATAGTGCAGAGTTGGCTAACTTATTAATGCTGTGAGTTGATGGTTTTAATTTTGAACTGAAGAACACATGTAGAAATGAATAACTACCTAAATAGCATTTGTTTCTAGATGAATTCTTTTGCAGATTCCTAAAGATGGATATGAAAGTTTTAGGTGTATGCAAGTGCTTCCTGAAAATAGTTACTATAGCTTTCTCTCATATCTCTCACTCCAACCATATAATGGACTGTATTTTGACTTTGATCCAGTATATTTTTCTACTCAGAACCAGGCCAACTTGGGTGGTGGTGGGATAGATGGCAAGATGCATCCTTTTTCTCCCAAAGATCATCGTAAAAAGCAAGAACTTAGGGGCTGGCCCGGTGGCACACTGGATGGTGCGCCGCTTGGGAAGCGCGGTGGCGCTCCCACCCGAGGGTTCGGATCCCACATACGGACCGGTTCCCGCTCACTGGCTGAGCGAGGCGCGGGAGCAGCGCCAAGGGTTGCAATCCCGTTGCCGGTCCTGGTCTGGTGCGGGGGCGACACTGAGGGTTGCAATCCGATGCCGGACACGGAAAAAGACAAAAAAAAAAAAAAAAGCAAGAACTTAGAAATGAAACTTCTGGGACCTGGAAAGCTCTGTCACCTTAATTGGCGATTAGAAGTAGATAAGCATAAAAATTAGCACTGGATTTCAGTGCTTGAGTTCACATGCAGCTGTAGTGAGGAACACACCATCTCTTTAAAGTATTACTTATATTCCTGAAGATACAATGCCCCTTTTCCAACAGTTAGGCTGTCATTTCTCACTCTAGGAAAACCACTAAATCAGTCAGATTTATGCTCCCCATGGATCTGGTTGGTGCTGGATTGTTTTAAGCCCTGCGTAATACTAAGCTGAGAATCTAACTCATTGCGTCCCTACTTTTTCATCTTTGTTCTAAATCTGTCAGGTATTTAAACCCTCAGCATCAAGGTTGAAATTGGGAATCTTGCTTTCTGCTCCTTTAAGGGTGTCCTTTATCTTTTTTGATACTCATAATAAGATTAGGTTACTTTGTATTAAACACCCTATACCTAGCCACCAAGGAAGGCATAAATTTAACAGTGTGCAAAGGGCAGGCTAACACAAACTATGACTAATGAGTTACACTGGTCTGAAAGGTGATGGCAGAACAGAAGAGAGGCAGGAGCCCCGTAGACATCATGATCACATAAATCTCACTTTGTTTTGGTGTGTAGTCCTTTTTATTTGTTTTCTTGTCCTATCTCTGCCTTTCTTTGGTAAAAGAGTAATACTGGTCTCATAGAAAGAGTTGGAAAGTGTTCCCTTGCCTCTGTTTTGTGAAAGAATTGGTATAGGATTGGTATTATGTCTTCTTTTTTGGGTGGAATTCACTAGGTGAAGATATCTAGCCTGGGCTTCTGTTTGTGTGAAGGGAGATTTTCTATAACAAGAAAATAATTTATTTTCCATTTCTTTTTTAGCCAGTTTTGTTAGTTTTCAGTTTTTGAGGAATTTAGCTATTTCATCTAAGTTGTCTACTTTGTTAACATAAAGTTGTTCATTAGTATTCTCTTATAATCCTTTTAATTTCAGTAGGTTGGTATCCCCTCTTTTATTCCTGATTTTGGTATTCCATGTCATATCTCTCTTTTTCTTAGTCAGTCTACCTAAAAATTTAACGAGTTTGTTGATTTTTCTCCCCCAGAGAACTTTTGGTTTCTTTTATATCTCTTTTGTTTTTCTGCTTCCTATTTTATTGATTTTCTCCTCTGATCTTTATTTCCTTCCTTCTTCTGCTTGCTTTACATTTACTTCACTTTTATTTATCTATTCTTAAAGTGGAAGTTTAGATTATTAATGTGAAACTGTACTTTTCTTTTTTTTTTTTTTTGTCTTTTTCTGTGTCCGGCAACGGATCGCAACCCTCGGCGCTGCTCCCGCGCCTCGCTCAGCCAGTGAGCGGGAACCAGTCTGCATGTGGGATCCGAACCCTCGGGCGGGAGCGCCGCCGCGCTTCCCAAGCAGTGCACTATCCAGTGCGCCACCGGGCCGGCCCGGAAACTGTTCTTTTCTAATATAGATGTTTAAACTCTGAATTACTCTCTAAGCACTATTCAAGCTGCACGTCGTAAGTTCTGATATGTTGTATTTTTGTTTTCATTTAGTTCAAAATATTTTCTAATTTCTCTTGCAATATCCTTTTGGATCCATGGGTTATTTAGAAATAAATCTCTTCACTTCCAAGAAGTGGTATTTTTCCAATTTCTTTCTGTTATTTTTAATTTCTTTGTCGTTAGAGAATATACTTTAAATGATTTGTTGTTTTAAATTTCTTGAGACTTGTTTTATGGCCTAGCATATGGTCTATCCTGGAGTACGTTTCACATACACCTGAAAAGAATGTGTATTCTGCTCTCGTTGGATGGAGTATTCAAAAATATCAGTTAGTTCAGATTGGTTGACAGTATTGTTCAAGTCTGCTATAGCCTTGATGATTTTCTGCCTATTCTGTTAGTTATTAAGAGTGGGATGTTGTAATCTCTGACTGTAATTGTTAAATTGTCTGTTTTTCTTTTCAGTTCTGTCAGTTTTTGGTTCATGTATTTTGGAAGCTCTGTTGTTAGGTATATATACCTTTGTATTTGTTGAAACCTTCTAATATATTGACCCCTTATTATTTTAAAATATCCCTTAGTATTTAGTAGTATTTCTTGTCTTGAAGTCCATTTTGTCTGTAATTACAGCCACTCCAGCTCTTTTATGATTACTGTTTGCATGGCATATCTTTTTCTGTCCTTTTCCTTTTAACCTATTTGTATCTTTTAATTTTAAGTGGTCTGTGGCAGACAGCATATTGCTGGATGTTGTGCTTCTTTTTCCCCGTCAAACAAGCTTTGCTTTTTGATTAGAGTTTTTAGTCCATTAAAATGTAATATGATTATGGCTGGGTTTGCATCTGCCATTTTGCTATGTGCTTTCTGTATATCTTTCATTATTGCATTGTACTTTTATTGCCTTATTTTGTTTTAAACAGAAATTTATTAGGGTACCACCTTAATTACTCTTGATCTTGTACTATTTTCTAAGCAGCGGCTTTATGTGTTACAATAGGCATCTTAACTTATTACAGTCTACTTCAGACTTATATTGACTAAATTCTGATAAGATATGGCAACTTTGCCCCAGTACAGCTTCTTTTCCTAGAAATATATATTTATAGTCCTATATATTTACTCACATATTAACCATTTCTGCTGCTCTTCCTTTTTCTCACTGATTTAAGTTTCCAAGTCTGTTGTCATTTCCTTTCATCTGTAGTACGTTCTTTAGTATTCCATGTATGGCAAGTATGCCTGCAACAAATTCTCTCAGTCTTTATTTTGTAATGGATTTCAAATTCATTTTTGAAGAGCAGTGTTTGATGGATTTAGAGTTCTTGGTTGACATTTTTTTCCCCCAGTACTTTTTTAAAAAAAGTTAATTTATTTTATTTTTAGTTTTAGTTTTTTGGTTGTGAATATTCATGGGGTACAAAGCTGATTATCACCACTTGTGCCCAAGATGTGATGGCCAGATCCATACTGGCAGCATGCCTATCACCACAGATTGCAATTTATACCCCATGTCCCCCACCCAATTATCCCCAACCTCCTTTCCCATCCCCCTTTGCCCCACTCCACTTTGTATCCCTGGGTATGCTCTCTCCCTTTGCAAGTCCAATGCATCACTGTGGTCTTTCTTACCTTCCTTCTTTCTCTCTTAGCTCCCACTTATGAGCGAGTACATGCGGTATTTATCCCTCTGTGCTTTGCTTATTTCACTCAACATGTTTTTCCAAGCTCATCCATGTTGCTGCAAATGGGAGAAATTCATTCTTTTTTATGGCAGAGTAATATTATATGGTGTATATATACCACACTTTCCTTATCCAACCATCCATCGATGGACATTTAGGTTGGTTCCATATCTTGGCTATTGTGAACAGAGCTGTGATGAACATGGGAGTGTAGGGTATCCCTTCAACATGATGATTTCCATTTCTTTGGGTATGGATTGCTGGATTGTATGGAAGATCTGTAGTTGTTTGAAGAAACTCCATACTGTTCTCTGTGGTGGCTGTTCTAATTTACAGTCCCACCAGCAGTGCAGGAGTGTTCCCTTCTCTCCACATCCTCACCAGCGTTTGTTATTCTCCTCTTTTTTATTATAGCCAGTCTAACTGGGGTGAGGTATCTCAATGTAGTTTTAATTTGCATTTCCTTGATGACTAGTGATGTTGAGCATTTTTTCATGTACCTGTTGACCATTTGCCCCCCAGCACTTTAAATATGTTATTCCACTGCCATATGGCCACCATTGTTTGTAATGATGGTCAGGTATTAATCATATTGTTCTCCTACATGTGATAAGTTGCTTTTGTCCTACTGCTTTTAAGATTTTCTCTTTGGCTTTCAGCAGTTTGAGCATGGTGTGTTTAGGTCTGCATTTCTTTGTGTTCATCCTGCTTAGGGTTTGTTGAGCTTTTGGGATTTGTAGATTATCAAATTTAGGAGATTTTTCAGCCATTATTTCTTCAGTTATTTTTTTTTTTGCCCTTTTCTCCTTTCGCTCTCCTTCTGGGGCTTTCATGTACATTGATTATGCTTAATGTTATGCCACAGGTCTTCGAGACTTTGTACATTTTTTTCAATCTTTATTATCTTGTTTTTTATATTGAATAATTTTTATTAATCTGTCTTCAAGTTTCCTGATTCTTCTGCAGTCTCAATTCTGCTGTTTAGCCTAT